TTACTTCCACCTCCCTCCCGATCCTTCTACCACCTCAACTCCCCAGAAGCATTTGCAGCATCCCTTCCTGTGCACCCGAACAGTACCCAGCACAACAGAGCCCTGGATCCTGCAGAAACACATCACTATTAACACCCCCTTATTCCTCTAGCCCTCCAAAAACACACTGGCTGCAGCATATCCCAAAGTTTGAAGACATTTCAAGATGGGAAGCAAGCTGTTAGGAAGTCAAATTTGGTTACATGAAGGGCAGTTTTTGAAGTGGCTATAACAAACCAGCCCTGGAGATCGGCACGTTTTTAAGCAGCAAGGCTGGGCAACAAAACCTGTCAGCAGCAACTGCAGTTGGCTTCTTTTGTTCACCGAGCCACTTCCACCCTCTTACATACGTTCTCCTCCCTGGCAAAGATGCAAAGACCATCGTTTTTATCAACATGCATACTGTAGTGTTGTCAGCAGGCTCCTTAAGGTTATTCCCTTTTTCTTCTCAGTTATATTTATAAACCCTGTACAGAGTTGCTATGGTTTCTGTTACCGTCAGTCCAATTGGCATTCAGTGCAGTTCCTCTCACCTTCACCATTTCAGTGACCTTTACTTCACAAGGAAGATCTCATGCCATCACGCCGTTCAATTAGATGTCACACAACACGCTGTGCGAGAACACCAACCGCTAAGCAAAAGAGGACTCTGTGGAACCAATTCATCTGCAAAGGCTGTCTGAGAGATGGATAAACAATGGTAATTATTTCAAAACAAATTGGAACCAGAAAGCGCAACCCAGCAGTGTAACTGCTCGACAAAAAGGAAAGCCACAAAAATAAGAAATTTCAGCTCTTGAAATTGATCTGGGGTGCTCCAGTATCTTCCTCTAGGCAAATATTTTTCTACCTTTCTTGCTCTCCAAAGTCAAGTTCAAAAAACTCTTACTTCCAACACAGTTTCTTTTACCTCAGTTGAACAACTTACGCACAGGACTGCTCATGAATGGGAGCAACACAGCTGTAGACTGATAGTAGGAGTTTCTCTCTTTGCCAAACTAACATTCTAAATATTACATTTAAGTGACTTTGCATAAAGCTACACTACTTACTGTACAGCCAGAGAGCCAAGCGAGATGCATGCTTTCCTCCAAAAGCAAGCACGTTGGGAATGGACTCAGCAGTTTCATGTACCAACCAGATCATGGGATCCACAAAACCCTAACCTATAAGTTAGGGAAGTCTACCCAAAAGCCAGAAAATAGAGCTTGGACATGATATGACCCTAACTCTGCCTGTGCAGTAGGAATGGGAACATCCCCACAATTTGCCTCTTCATAACAAAGCCAGAACTCTCCTTGTGGCACTTCCTTGGCTGTTGAGGTAAATGTTCTTGCATTGGGCAACCAGACTAGCCAAGACCTCTCATCTCATACACTTTTAATGCTAGTTGGGGCCTTCTAAAGAGCAGGAAAATTGCCTGAATTTTTCCAAGACACCTAGGTGCAGGAGCACGGTGCTTTAGCTGATCAAATGACAGCTCTGTATTGCACAAAAGGAGCTCCTCTATTAGAGGCACTGAGCAACCATGTATGCAGTAAGTGGGTCAGAAGAACAGGTTACAGCTGGCGTACAAAACCAGCCTGGCTTAGAAAGCAGAGAGGGTCAAACGAGCCTGTGCTGTGGGAGGTAGGTACATCTCTTGCTGCCCCAGCTCCGTTAGCTAAGGCTCGTGTGGAAGCTGGGCTCTGAAACACAGGTGACTGAGGCATCCATGGCCATAGCCAACTTCTGCACAGTGCTCTCATGAGACACTTAATGTGAGCGGGGAAAAAGACTGTGTGCCGCATTCTCTGAACTGAAGCATCTCTCTTTGCCTTTGCTGTCACCAACATGGGTGTCTTTATGCACTGTGCTTTATTCCATCACAGGGCTACTGAGCCTACTCCTGCCAGCTTGGCCGCAGCCTGCATTGATAGCATTGACTGGTGGGTGGCTCACTCAGGGTGGGCCTCAGCTGCCACTGCGGTGCTGACACCAACTTTACACCAGCGTGTTGTCTGGCACTCCCAGGCTCCCTGTTCGCTCCCTGGCAGCACAGCGTCACCTGCATGTTCATCATGTACTTACCTGTCACTACAGATCTGAGAAAAATCTCAGTCCACAATCCGATTCAGGGTGGTTTATTCCAAAAACAGACAAAAGATTTTTTACTCTTTCCTCTGCTGCTTCCACCTCCTCATGCCTGGATTGTGCTGCTAAGTCTTTGCTCAGTTGATGGAGGACTTTACAGCACACAAGCTCTTTCATCTTTACCATGATCAGAACAAGCCAGTGCACCTTTGCTGTTTCACAGTCTCTTTTAAACTGGGGTGAGCTGAACTTTCTATGCAAAGATTTGACCTCTCCTGAAATCCCTTGATCAGCAATTTCCCTTGCTCACTCTTTCATGTTTGAGGCATTATGAAACACTGGAAACTATACATTCTTTCATGAGGAAGTTAGTGAGAAAATTCATATAATCAGCTCAGTCCC